GGCGCCCCATTCCACCAGAGTCAGCGTTTTGATGCAGTGATACACGTCGACGCGAGCGCGCACAGCTGGGGTGCCACCTTGGCCAAGTTCCCAAGTACATCATGCGAGGCAAGCGAGTGCATGCCACAAGGGCTTCTCCCCACATCTAGTACGCGGCGAGAGCTCGAGGGAGTGCTCTGGGCACTGCGGACGTTCGCAACCCAAATCGTGGGCGCTCACGTCCTCGTCCGGGTGGACAACCAGGCAGTCATGTTTATCTTGCGCAAGGGGGGATCCCGTCAGGCGGATCTTACGTCGACATGCCAAGCGATCATCCAGTTCTGCCTCGGCAACACAACACGCCTCGCGATCGAATGGATTCCGAGGGAGCTCAATGCCCATGCGGATGACCTATCCAAGATGCAAGATTTTGACGACTACTCCCTACATGCACCTTGGTTTCGCCTCTTGGAACGACGCTGGGGGCCTCACACAATTGATCTCTTTGCTAACGTTCAGAACAATCACGTTCAGCGCTTCTGCTCCAAGATACCGCACCTCGACGCATTCGCCGTCGACGCATTTTCCATCTCGTGGAAAGGCGAGCGATGCTTTGCCTTCCCGCCTCCACACTTAATTCCCGCTACACTCCGCCACGCGGAACTGACGCAGACAGAACTCACGCTCGTCGTTCCCCAGTGGAACGGAGCGTCATGGTGGCCGCTTCTTCAACCGTCCACTCAATCGTGGGCTCCAGCAATAGTCGAGCACCTTTCCCTTGCCCAAGGCAGTCAATGCCTTCGGGCAGGTTCACACACAGCTGCATTCTCTGGTCTCGGATTGCCTCATAGCCCAATCATTGCTTTGCGTGTAAAATATGCAGTCTAATAACAATTTCTCAATGTGTCATTTCAGGACTTTTGGCCAAACTAAAGCAACAATTGCTGCACGTAATTAGCCACGCTCGCGCACCATCTACAATCGAGACGTACCAACCTTATTGGCAGAGATTTCGCACCTTCTGTACCCAAGTTAAGCTCGAGTTCCTCCCGGCAACCGACCTGACGCTAGCGCTGTATCTCATCCATGCGCTCAACAACAAAGCAACTCTCTCCGCGATCAACCTCACGTGTTCGGCAGTAGCCTTTGCCCACCGCATGACAGGCGAAACCTCCCCTACCGCCGGCCCACTCACCCTGCAAGTGCGGGAGTTCGCCAAGAGACATGGTCCCCGCCCTACAAGAACCAAAGAGCCCATATCTCTCCATCAAGTGCACGACATGGCTCGTCCCTTCCTCGAATCATCAATTCCTGCGGAATACCAGAAAGGATTGATTCCTCTTCTCATGTTTTCGGCATTCTTGCGCTACTCCGACCTCGTCTCGCTCCAGTGGAATGACGTACAGTTCGAGGAGAAGGCAATGTGGCTGCTCATTCCGCACTCCAAGACGGACCAGGAGGGGAGGGGAGTCTGGATCCCCGTGGCGGCAATTCCAGGCCCATACTGCTCGGTGAGGTGCACGCGCGCATTCATACACATCGCAGGCCTCACAAAGGTGCCCCATGGACCGCTGATAAGGGTTTTCCCAAAGAACTCACAAGCCACACCGAACGACAAATCGCCATCCTACGTTACGATCAGAAACTGGTGCCTCGCAGCCGGCAGGCAAGCTGGACTGGATGTCGCGCACATCGGAACCCACTCATTCCGCAAAGGCGCAGCCACTGCAGCGGCGAGCCTCAGAGTTCCTGACCGACTCTTCAAACGCATGGGCCGATGGCGCAGCGACAGCGCGAAGGAGATGTACGTTACAATCGCGCAGGATCAGCTCATCTCCCTCTCTACGCAATTGCAGGATCCTTCGACGGCTCCCTCGCCCGCTACGCATCAGCTATCCATCGAACGCCACCGGCAGCCCCGACTACACTTGCCTCAGAAGACCCATATGAAATGATAACGCTGCCTTTGCCAGTCAGCCTAAGTACACTTTCACAATATGATAATTTTTGAAAGTGTAATGAAATGTAACACTTTCTACAATTTTGTATTGTGAAAAGGGGTACGTGGCCAACACAGCAAAGGTAGCGCCGAAGCGCTACTCACCCTCTTTTGCCTACAAAAGAGGGACGTGGGGACATTCGTCCCCACCCACGTTTTCATTTTCAAAATTGTAGTTCTAATTTCCCACCCGCCCACCCATTTGTGTATGCTGTTATGTAGACATATATAAGACGAGAACGATGTACTACAACCCATATGAAATGATAACGCTGCCTTTGCCAGTCAGCCTAAGTACACTTTCACAATTGACCCGTTTTTTAGATCACATAGATTGTGTTGTTTCATGTAACAGTTGGATGATTCAGAAATTATGCTATTGAGCTCCCCCCCATGCTAGGCAGGGGATGCGGTAGCATAGGGTCTGCGTTAATTAACTGTTACGCACTTCCATCATGCTGTGCATTTATTTCATTACCGGTAGTATATGCATTATACTTATGCATTTGCATTTACTTCATCTACTTATAACAACATCAGACATATGCATCACGGAATAAACAGTTACGCGTTCACAGTTCATCATTTGGGCAACTCATGAAATATAGGTTCAGTCAAAGTAAACTAGGAAATGAGAAGGAATGTGGTTCAGCACATGGTAAATTGACGCGGCAGATACATGGCAGTCAGTCACTTAGCTAGTACGGTACCGTTCACTTTATTTTTTCCATCCTTTATTTTTTAAAATATTGAGGATTGGAAAAAAAATTGTACATAACGATCGTAATAGGTTGCTTCGCAACCCAAAAAAACCGAAAACGGAAACGCAAAATTTGAGTGTGTTGGATGATCGATCGAGGGAGGGGACGTAGGACATACCGCATGGAATATCTCAGCGGATAAGCGAGTCCGCCCGGGAGAGCTCGCTGCCCGCGGGCAAAAAATAACCCCCCCCCTTCCGGGCATGCATCCGGTCAGGGAGGCATCAACCCTAAACACATCCTTAGCTATGACAGTGTAGCAGCGTGTGGGCAACAAAACTGGTCTTCCCGCCAACCGGATACGAACCCTAAGGATTGCTTACTTACAGTTCTCCGCTCTACCAACTGAGCTATAGCAGGTTGAATAGACATTTCAATTTTATTTAAAAATAATATTTTTATTGCCACGTCACACCTTAGCTGGAAAGGTAAAAGCCGCACACGCTTGCTTGCGGCCACCGTGGCGAACCGCAAGCTGACACTCCTCACTTCCCACGGAACCAAACCAGAACTACCGAAGCAAGCCACTGTAGTACTGTAGCTGGCTTCGGCGCAGCCCCGTGTGAACATACGTCGCCATCGCACGCTGGTCACGGTCATGGCACAGGTCAGCGTAGCTTCCGAGACTAGCCGAGTCGGTTGCTGTGTTTCCCGCCTTCTCTTCATAAATTTGATTGGTAAACGAAGCAGCCCCCGCCATACATACCGGCCCCCATAACCAGCCACTTCTCGTCTGACTAACCACAGCTACCTCAGGCTAGAGACTGTAGAACAAAGCAAATGTTTCCTTATTCCCCGCCCACAAAAGAGGGCTGTCTTTAGTTCATGTTTTTTCTTCGTTCTGTCATCTGGGCTCTTTTCTGGCTTTCCTTTTCAAACAACGATAGTCTAGATTATGGAATCCACAGTTGTAGCTATTATTCATGGACCCGAGGTCAGTTTTTCCCCATTCCATTTACGCTTGTTTTTTTTGCAGACCTTGCAATGACAATCCTCTTTCATCCCTCATAGACTCCTTTTGGACCGAGTATGAAGACAACCACCCTCTGTTTTTTGGGTGAGCACGGCGTAGCCCATTATCGGTCATCATTTGCTTGTCGATGAAGAACTGAGCTTGAGGTCACTGGGATGCCAAAGAAACTGCGTGGTGTGGGAACGTTGGTTCCCCCGTGCGACGTCAGCCTCTCAGTCGCCATCTCGTACTGCACCGTCCGATCCCCATCACGAACTAGGGCCCTGATCTGTGTCCCTAACTCAGAGTTAACTAACTCTGAGTTACCGAGCCGTGTAGGCTCGGATGAGTACACCGACAAGGCATCATTACGCTCGTGTGAATGTTGAGTAGTAACTCACATGGGTGATCTGTGGCCCCTCGTCACTCCGACTTAAGGAAGTTGCGTGGGGGTTCTCGAGAGCTTTATCGTAAAAAGTTTCAGGCTGGCCCTAACTACCCCGATCGCATAAAACAAAACATTTATGGCAGGATGGCAAAAAAATAAAAAATGAGATTGGTGTGAGTTAGTCGGGCGGGGTGAATGTGTCAGAAAGTTTACCAAAATGATGTTATACTAGGCTACCCTGCTCGAATCGCGCTCTGAGTGGTGTATTGAGTTTCACCCCAAAAGCCAAAGTAAGCGAGAGCACTAACTCTGAGTTAGTTTGCCCGTGAAAGAAGATTCTTTGCAAGCTTCCTACGGAGCATACCCTGAGTTAGTTACTTTGCGTAGACGTGGCCCTTATTTGCTAACTCAGAGTTAGCTGGCACGGTGTGATTTTAACGTACACACGTGTGAGGTTTGAGTTAATAAAACCCCCTCGAAACGAGTTAACTCTGAGTTAAGGGGCCACAGATCAGGGCCTAGGTCTCGGATGCCAAGCAACTGGCACAGGTCTCTCTTCTCTTCCCCACCAGCACAAATACGCTTTCCGCGGAGCTGGTGTGAATTGCAAATCCCGACCCGAAACGACTGCACCCCATCCTCCCTCACCCTACCCCGCCCCACCCCCTGCACCTCCCCCTCTCCTTGCACAGATTCTCGTTCCAGGTGCACAACAGCCGCCACCACGATAGAAAAAACAGTCTCTTCACAAACTATCCTCGTCATCCACGCCACACGAATCAATAGCACACACTAGCTCAGGAAGTTCCTGGTTGTCTGCCCAGGAGCCTTGTAGCCTTCAAGTAGCTCGAAGACCTCCAATTCTGTTAGTCGCCTCGCGCGTTATATCCTTGCCAGGCTCCTTAGAACTCGACTCACCAAATGCCGTCGTCCTTCTCACCCGCCCTCGACGGCGCCTCGTCGTCTCGCCACCGTCAGATCGCGCCGCCGCCCAAAGTCGACCGGCCAATCTCCCTCGAGGCCGTCGCCGATTGGCTCGTTCTCTCCAATGGGGCGCGCTTCGGCCTCGATATCGGCGGCACGCTCTGCAAGCTGGTCTGCTACGAGCCGCACGGTTCCAATTCCGACACGGACTTCATCCGTCACTCACTTGACGGTTTTTCGTCTGCAGTTACCATCCCCGTTAACGGTAACGGACGATCTCCGGACCTTCCGAAGCGGAGAAGTGGCGACGGTGGGACTTGGGGGTGCAGATGCGGCGGATCGCCTGGCGGCAGTTCCAAGGCGGGGAGGTGCGCCGGCAGGTGCGGCGCGGTGCGGAGGGAAAAGCGCAGCGCGGGGGCGTGCAGCATCCTGCGGCGGGAGAGCCACGAGCCGATCGGGCTTGGGCCGGGAGGCGGACGTCTGTACTTCAAACAATTCGGTGAGCGACGGTGATCAGAAGGATCGGGTAGGTGGGAATGGTGGGGAGGGGGAGGGCAACCGACCGACATTGAGGGGAGGAAGGCATGAACTCTTTCAGCTTCTGTAAGCGGTTGAAATTCAACACTTGCCGCGCCGCGACTGGATTCGAGAAGGTGATCTCGAAAGCGCGTCGAGGAGAATTGTTCGGCATGGCCCGCTCTGTCGGACCCGTCTCCTGCACACATCCCCCGCCTCTCCCCGCTCTCCTGCATCCCTCGTCTCCACCTCACCGCCATTTCCACCTTACCTCCACCTCCGCCACTCCGTTCCCGCTCCGCCCCTTGCGCTTGCTCCGCGTGGCCCGCATTCCCCTATCCCCCCGTCCCCCCGCGCGCAGAGACGTGGCATATGGACGATTTTCTCGCGCTCGTGCAGCGCCGCAGCCAAGGCACGCTCGCCGCGCACCCCGTTGGCGCCACGGGGTGAGGCGGGGTGATGGAATTACAGTAGTGGGTTCAGGAGTACATAGCATTTTTTCTTGCCGCGTGACCCAATGCAGGCACGCTAGCATTTCTGCTATTGTGACGTCATCTCGTCACGTTTCATTCCCTTTTCGTGCCACCTAACGTCTCCCCTTGCCCTCCTAACCCTCCCTCTTGCATCTCACTTTCTTTCCTCCGTGCTTCTCCCGCCTGCCTCCTGCTCCCACCTCCTCCCTTTCCGCTCCTACGTCCTCGTATGCTTTCCACCGCGCAGTGGCGGCGCGCGCAAGTTCAGAGGGCAGTTTGAAGGGATAGCGGGCGTGCAGCTGGAACGAGCAGATGAGCTGCAATGGTGGGTTCCCTGCCCTGCCATGCCCTGCCATGCCATGCCCTGCCATGCCCTGCCCTGCCATGCCCTGCCATGCCCTGCCATGCCCTGCCATGCCCTGCCATGCCCTGCCATGCCCTGCCATGCCCTGCCCTGCCATGCCATGCCATCACTCTCATGTGACGCTTCCATTCCTCGTCCTTCCTCGTCCGTCCCTCCCTTCTTGCCTCACCCGTGTCACTAGACTTCTCCTCCCACCCGCTTTCGAGAAGTCTTAAAAGTGTGTCAACCACCCCTTCTCGGTATCCCCCCTTTTCCCATCCCCATTTCGCACCTTCTCACCTGCCTCCCCGCTGCTTCCCCCAACTCAACCAGCCGCACAGTCTCGTCTATTGCTCGCAAGAGTTCCGCCCTTCCCCTGAACCTCCGAATCCTTTCCCCCCATCCCAACCCCCCTTTTCCCACCCCTCCCCCCTCCCCTGAACGTCCCCTCTCCACTCCGCCAGTCTGGTGCGCGGAATCGACTTCCTTGTGCGCGTGGCGCCTGGCGATTGCTACGGCTTTGCCCACGTGGACGCCCTGCCACGTGGCGCCATTCAGAGGCCAGGCGGCGACTCGGGGTCGGAATCTCTTTCTGCTAGCTGCTGCAGCAGCAGCTGCAGTGGCAGCAGCGACGGGGAGGACGAGGGCGGGGAGGTTGGGCGGGCGAGCAAGAGGAGGGGAGGTGATGCTGCTGATAGGACGGAGAGCGAAGGAGGGGAGAGGGCAGGAGGGATGAGAGGAGACGGTGTTGGGAGGCAAGGGGAAGAGGGGAATGGGAATGAGAATGGGAATGGGTCTGGGACTGGGACTGGGAATGGGAATGGGAATGGAAATAGGAATGGGAGTGGAAATGGGCATGGGCCTGAGCATGAGCATGTGCATATGAACGGGCATGGGCATAGGCATGGGCATAGGCATGGACATGTACATGGGAATGGGCATGGGGCAGAACAAGGGGGCGATGAGCAGGAGCAGCAGCAGGGGCATGGTCGGGGAGGGTCGGCATCTGACTGGGACGAGGTGGCACAGGCGTTCTGCACTGGCAGCGACGGTGATGGGCGCGCGAGAACAGGCGTTGAGGGAGAGGAGGGGGGAGAGCATGGAGAGGCGAGAGAGAGCGGTGATGGCCTGCAGTCTGGGTTGGCAGAGGGGCGGGGGGCAGGGGGAGAGGAGGTAGAGGAGGCGGTGGGGGATGGTGCGTGTGTGGGAGAGGGAGGTGTTGTGGATGGGGTAGAGGCGGATGTTGAGGATGGGGAAGGGGGTGATAGTGATGAGGAGAGCACTGATGGTGATGGCGGTGCAGCGAGGGAGAATGGGAGGTTGGATAAGGAGGAAGCGGAGGAGGAAGAGGAGGAGGAGGAGGAGGAGGAGGAGGAGGAGGAGGAGGAGGAGGAGGAGGAGGAGGAGGAGGAGGAGGAGGAGGAGGAGGAGGAGGAGGAGGAGGAGGAGGAGGAGGAAGGCGAGGAGGACGAAGACGAGGACGAGGAGAGGGGAGATAGGAGGGAGGGGGTGGATGCGGGGAGCAGGGCAGAGGAGAGTCCCCCGGAGCTGCTCACGTACCCCTACCTTGTGGTGCGCTGGGAGGCGGGTGTGGGGTGTGGGAAGAGGGCTGCTTGAATCATTATGATGTTCTGAAGAGAAAATCCTATGAATTGTGTCTTTAATTTTGCGTTCATGGTCCCTTGCTTTTTCTGATCCACGGCTCCAGTCCCCACCTGATGCCCACCTGATGTCCACCTGATTCCAGTTAGTCACCATCCATCCATCTGCCTCTGCCTCCCTGCCACCCTCCTCAAGCCTGTCCTCACTTCGCCTATCCGCCTCCCTCTTTGCACCGCTGCACGACTCATGTGTGTGGATGGCGCATGCATGTGGCAGGTGAACATAGGGTCGGGGGTGTCCATCCTGAGAGTTGATGCGCCCGGCCAGTTTGAGCGCGTCGGAGGCTCTTCTCTCGGCGGCAGGTCTGCCTCCCTGCCCTTCCATCCCTGCCCTCCCATCCCTGGACTCTCCCATCCCTGGACTCTCCCATCCCTGCCCTCCCTCCCGTGCCTGTCCTCCTTTCTCCCTGACTTTCTGTCTCTGCTTTTGGTAATCGCTTGCACTTGAGTTGGCATTGAGTGCTCAATTCGATATCAACTGAAGTTTCTTTGCTTTGAAGTGCTCGCTTCCCCCTCTGCTCTCTGCCCCCTATGCCTTCCTGCTCTGCTTCCGTTTCCTATGTTCCCCTATATCTTCTTACAACCCTCCTGCCTTTCCTTTTCTGCCTCCCATGTTCGCCCCTGCATGTGCTGCACACTCCAGCACCTTTCTGGGCCTTGCAGTTGCACTCACAGGCTGCACCAGGTATGTACCATGTCATGACTCATGCCATGCCATGCCATGCCATGCCGTGCCATGCCATGCCATGCCATGCCATGCCGTCCAATGCTATGCCTCGCCATGCAGGACATCAGTTGTCTCGTTCTCCTCAGCTTGCATCCCTTTTCTTCCCCTTCTCGTCGTCCTGTGCTGATAGCCCCTTGTCACCACCTCCCTGCTGCTCACCTGGGTCCACCATTTCATCCTTCCCGTTGTCCTGTTGTCTCTCCTCTCCTTCCTCTCCTCTCCTCTCCCCTCCTCTCCTCTCCTCTCCTCTCGTCTCCTCTCCTCTCCCCTCCTCTCCTCTCCTCTCCTCTCCTCTCCTCTCCTCTCCTCTCCTCTCCTCTCCTCTCCTCTCCTCCACGTCCCCTCCCCGTTTCTCACGCACGCCAGCTTCAAGGAGGCCATGAGGCTGGCATCGAGGGGCGACAGCACGTGTGTGGACATGCTAGTGGGAGACATTTACGGTGGGTTGTGCACACCTCAGGCACACCTCAAGCGCACCTCAGGCACACCTCAGGCACACCTCAGGCACACCTCAGGCACACCTCAGGCACACCTCAGGCACACCTCAGGCACACCTCAGGCACACCTCAGGCACACCTCAGGCACACCTCAGGCACACCTCAGGCACACCTCATGCACACCTCAGGCACACCTCAGGCACACCCATGCAGCACATGCCATGGAGTGCAACCTCACTAGCCTATCTACCTCGTCATAATCTCTAGTGCAAGATCCTAAAAAAACAGTACCACGTTCTTCCTCCTCTCTCCACGTTCTCCTTCACTCTTGATGTTCCTACTTCAAGTGCAGCACTCCTTTTCACCCCTTTTTCCCCAACCTGGAGGGCAGTGGGTTTGCAACCTGGTCGCCATTGTACGCGTTTAGTCAATGAATCTCACGGGTCCTTTCCCATGGTCTGGTGGTGTTAACTGTTGCAGGAGGTGACTACTTGGAGATGGGCCTGGCTGCCACCACAGTAGCCAGCTCTCTTGGAAAGGTATGCCTGCACATGGTTCGTGCTGTGACCATGCATTGCCATACCACGTAACTTTCCTGGTCATCTTATACCAGCTACCTGCTTGCTGGTTCGTACCTTCCGTGAAATTCTTCTAAAGATTATTTCACCTCATTCCTGTGTGCCATTCGCAATTGCCAATCCAACTATTGATCCAGTTCATGGAAAGCTATCATTTGTGCTCTCCCTCATGTCCTGCCACATCCTCTCTACCCTCCATCCCCATTCACACAAACCGCCTACCTCCCCCCTCCTCCCTCCCCCTCCCCAGCTGGTGCGGCCTGCTGACAAGGCATCACCGAGTCGTCGCCCGGAGAATCTAGCAAAGGCGGTGCTGCTGATGGTGACGAACAACATCGGGTCCATTGCCATGCTGCATGCTCGCCCCGCAGGCGTGCGCCACGTGCTCTTCACAGGCAGCTTCATGCACAACAACAAGGTGCTGCTGGGAACGGTGCTGCTGGGAACGGTGCTGCTGGGAACGGTGCTCTGGGAACGGTGCTCTGGGAACGGTTCCAGTGGCCATGGGAAAGGTGCTGGTTCGAGGGTGCTGGTGGGAAGGGCGGTGGTGGAAAAGGTGGTGGTGGGAATGATCCTGGTGGTACCTAAATAGAATTTGTTTGTCTCTCCTGGTGTAAGTAACGCTCTTCTTGCTCATCCCTTTTGCTCTCCTTATGCTCGCCCCTGCAGCTGGCCATGCGGTCGCTAGCGGTGGCAATGCAGTTCTGGTCTAACGGAGCTATGAAGGTGAGATGCCTAGTGGGGAAGCAAACATGCCGGTTTTGGGGAACAAGGGTTTGTTGGTGAGCCATTTTTCGCAGCAGTCTCTCTAGAGTTCACATCTCCAAGCAACAAAATAAATCAAAACTTACCTGAATGGCTATTTTTTTAAGATTTGAAGGATAGGTGTGTTCATACTCCTTTTTTTTCTTCCTTTTCTTCAGGCCATGTTTTTGAGACATAACGGGCATGCTGGCGCATTAGGGGCACTGCTCGCATGTGCGGATCGGCATGGAGTGGCCATCAGCCCAAGCTCCAAAAGACTCAGCATCGGAAACTCTGTAGACCTGCCAACTTCTCTTATGTAACATATTACTCAAGACACACTGCACTTGATAATGCATTTTAGGGACAAGAGGATACTGCTGGAGTTTTTACATCAAACGTTTTTGTAGCAAGCACAAGCCCAGGGGTGTTTCATTATAACTACTTTCTGGTTTTCCGGTAAGCTTGTTTCAAAATCAACAGTTTACTGCTTGCTGAATCAGTGAAAAAGGGCTGTTATCTGACCTGTGTTTCAGGTCCTTGTGAAGCCAGTTTTGACAAAGCAACAAAATAAACAAGAGGCGACGAAATCGTTTTAGGGTTGCGAAGCGTTTTGCATACGGTAATTAACATTTTTTTTCCTGCAAAACTTCGCTATGTACAAATCTTAGTATGCATAATAATTTACCATGTGCAATTTCTTATACTCTCTGTGGAACACATTGTATGAGGTGATTGAGGTTTGTAAAACATGTAGAGCTCGATCCTCTGACCGTTTCCTATCCCGTAGATGTAACGAGTGCGCTACAACAACAGTATGGCATGGAATTACTGAGTTACAGTCCAATTTTCGTGCGACGGACCTATCACTACCTTAGGGTTTGTTGTTTCTCCTTTCTCCCTCCCGTCTCTTTTTCTGGTTGGGCTAGGTTCTTGACATTCGCCCGTTAGTCACGCTCTACCTACGGTAAAGTGCCACCTATAGGACCTGGGGGACTCTCTACAAATGCTGGAAAAAATGCTAGGGTGGACATTATGGCGGTTGCAAATTTTTAAGACCCGGGGTACACTTATTTGTCTCTTAACATTAATGGATTTACCATGTACAATCTCGGTAGGGGGGGGGGGGGGGGGGGGGGGGGGGGTCTTATATTTTTCGCGCGAGAATCTTTAGCTTGGTGCCCCACGTGCGCATCATCGGGAATGACACGCGGCGAAAATCAGAGCACGGGGCGGACTGAACGGCGTTTGCCCCGCACCTCACATCCTCTCGACGGTGTTTCCGTTAAGATGGGCACGTCAGGTGGCCCTTGACCACCCCATCATGTCTCTGTGGCAGAATGGGTACTGGACGTGAAGCACTAGAGTTTCACGTCCCTCACTCTACCGTACACGCAAGCTTTCATCCCCTCCCTCCCTCTGTTTCAGATCTTGTCCGCCCGGCTAGCTTCCTACCCATCTAAATAGCCCGCCATGGCGCCTGCCATTTAGTGAACCATAGGTCGTTAGAATTGTATCAGCTCTTCGCCATGTCGGCTTTCGAAATCTATGGCGTTCTCGCAGTATGGCGGTAGGAAGTGGGTCTGGCTAGCCCGCAATCATACTGATCACAAGCCCGGCCCCGCCAGCTCCTCCAGCTCCTCCCGCACCTCCGGCACCCCCTGCGCCTCCGGCGCCACCTGCGCCCCCTGTGCTTCCCCTGGGCTTCGTTGACTGGCGCACCACTCCTCCTTTGGACCCGCTTGAGGAGGAGGGGTTTCCTGAACACGTCGCTGAGGACGGTGAGAATGAGACGAATGCCGAGAACGAGAACATGGAAGACAACGTCGGGGATTTCCAGATCCCTACGTTTCCGGATGACTTGATCCACAACGAAAACGGGCCTCGCTCCAACGTTGACGGTGCTCCAGCAGTTCACAGCGCCCGCAAGACTAACCACCGTCGCACTGCGCGAACCATGGGTGAGAAGCAGGAATGGCTCGCGCGGATGGACGATGAGAAGCTCTCTGTTCGCGCCACTGCACGTCTCGCCGGGGTGCAGCCTGTCAGCGTCCGCCGGTGGATAAGGGCGGCGGATCGGATTAAGAAGGCGGCACCGTCCAGGCGCCGACTCAGTGGTGGAGGGAGAAAGGCGAAATATCCCGACATGGAGGCGCATACCTACAAGCGGCTCCTGAACTTCCGCGGACGTGCCTTGGCCGTGCCTATTCGTCTCATCAAGCACTGGAGCCGGTGTTACATGAAGGCGCATTACCCTGATGTGAGGTGGATGGCGTCCAACAGGTGGACCTTCCGCTTCCGCCAGCGTTTGGGCCTCTCCGTCCGCGTGAAGACGAAGATGGGTCAGCGTATGGCATCGGGTGAGTTATCTTGTGCTTCCCTCCGTGTGTGTGCTTGTATAGTTTGCTTGGCGACATGTAACACTAATGCTTAACCCACCGCCGTCACTAATGTCCTTCTCCCGCCTTGTCCGTGTCCGTGGCAGAGTGCAAGCAGAAGTGTGAGAAGTTCTGGGCGTTCACGAGGAGGAACATAATCAAGCATGGCATAGACGCATGGAACATTATAAACGCCGACCAGACGCCCGTTTTCCTGGAGATGCCGCACGAGCGCACCCTGCATCACCGCGGAGAGAAGACGGTGCACGTCAGAAGTGCAGGCTACGAGAAGGACAAGGTGACTGTCATGCTCGGGATCACCGCGGACGGGCGCAAGCTCTCCGCCATGGTTATCTTCAAGCGCAAAACGATCCCGAAAATTCGGGTCCCTGCAGGTGAGTTGCTAGAGTTGTAACCATCACGGTAGTCTCTCTTCGTGGCGGATTTCTAACCACATGCGTTGTTTTCTTTGCAGGAGTCGTTGTTCGTGCGCAGGCGAAAGGCTGGATGGATGCAAAGCTAGTGGATGATTGGGTGAATAACGTTCTGCTGCCGTTCATCAAGCCTCCGCGTGGCATCCGGCGTTCCAAGACGCTTCTCGTCGTGGACTCGTACCGGGGCCACCTCACCGACGGCGTTCTCACCAACATGAAGTGGAACCGGGTAATTCCGGCCGTAATTCCCGGGGGCTGCACCCCACTGCTACAGCCCCTTGATGTGAGCGTTAATCGCTCATTCAAGGCACTGCTCCGTCAGCTCTACAATGACTGGTTTGCCGAGTTTGGCGTCAACACATTCACGAAAGCCGGTGAGTTTCGGTGCCGTGCTTAGTACCTCGCCTTGTGGCGTGTTTGTAGCTTGTTGTTGGCTTTATGATAACTCTCCGTGTGCGCCCCGTGCCTGTTCTTTCCTGTTTACATGGCAGGCAACCTGAAGAAGCCGCCAGCAGAGACGGTCCTCAAGTGGATTGCGAGTGCTTGGGCGGCCGTCCCCGAGCACATTATTGAGAAGGCGTTTCTCACGACAGGCATCAGCAACTGGGTCGATGGGAAGCAAGATCACCTCGTCCTGGCCCACATGCGTGATGCGGGCGAGGTCGAGGTGGCACAAGACGTGCACGTCGCCCCTGAGGTGGAGGAGTGGGTGAACCCACTGTTCGCCACAGCCGCGGAGGATGAGGAGGCGGCAAAGGCTGCGGATGCTGAGGATGCCGGGGACCTGGAGGAGGAGGAGGAGGAGGAGGAGGAGGAGGAGGAGGAGGAGGAGGAGGAGGAGGAGGAGGAGGAGGAGGAGGAGGAGGAGGAGGAGGAGGAGGAGGAGGAGGAGGACGACGACGACGACGACGATGTGGATGACGAGGAAGAGGAGGCGGAGGGTGGGCTGGAGGAGGACGCGAACGCTAAGTGCTTGATGGAATCTAACATGACCAAGCCGTAGTTGTAGTGACCACTAGGTGTTGAGATGTGTATGTAGTACGGTAGGTAACAACGATAACAATGTTAACTGCACCAAACTCAATAGGGCCTTATATGGAAAGGGGGGGGGTCTTATAATGATTAGCTACAAAGGGGGGGTCCTCACAAAACCTGCCACAATAAGAGTCCCCCTACCCATTCAAGAGTCTCGGGGGACCCTCTTACCGGCGGGTCCTATAGGTGGCACTTTACGGTACCATTGTAAGTGAGGAAATATCTGAGCTATTTACTAGAACAACGCTTGACATTTGCTAAACTAACGTTTCGCGATTTCATATCCTTAGGTTCTATGTTTGTTGTTTCTATGTCCTTAGGTTCTTAGACTTCAAAATTTCCTGGTATAAGGTCATGTTCTTTGCTTCTTCCTGCATAATCCAGCATCCGTTTTTTATGTTCTTGATCCTTAGTTCCTCTCGTCGGTTTTCTTCTCACTACCTCTATTCTGCATATTTTCGTTTTTGGGTTGCGAAGCAACTGTCAGAACATTATAGCTCATGCATATTGTGTAGGCTATAGTGGGGTAGGCCATAAGGGGTACAACCCAATTAGGGTTAGTACTTGTACCCAATTCATTCTCGTTTCTTCTCATGGTATCAGAGCAGGTTCCCTAACAGGAACGATTTCTAGGGCCCACCACTACGAAATTTTTATCCTGCCCGGAGCGCGCTCCGCTTAGGCCCGAGTCGCGCCTCGTATGCTTTCCTTACCGTCGCGCCCTCGCTAGGCCCCTCACGGCCCTGTCGCGTCGCCCTTAGCGGCCCCTAGCGGCCTCGTCGCGCTGCCCCAGCGATCGCGTCGCGCTGCCCCAGCGGTCGCGTCGCGCCGCCCTACCGGCCGCGTCGCGCCGCCCTAGCCGCCCTCACGGCCCCCTAGCGGCCTCTTGCGGCCCCGATCCGCCGCCCTTGCGGCCCCGATCCGCCGCCCTTCGCGGCCCGTCGCCGCTCTCCCCCTGCGGCTCTGACGCTGCCCTCTTCAACGGCCCGTCGCCGCCCTTCTCAGCGGCCCCGCCGTCTCCTTTCAGCGGCCCCGCCACTACGCCTGCAGCGGCCTCGTCGCCGCCCTTTCAGCGGCCCCGCCGCCTCCTTCAAGCGGCCCCGCCGCCTCCTTCAAGCGGCCCCGCCGCCTCCTCTCCGCGGCCCCGCCGCCTCCCCTCGGCGGCCCAGCCGCCTCCTCTCAGCGGCCCCGGACGCCGCCCTCTCAGCGGCCCTTCCGCCGCCTCCTTTGCGGCCCCGCCGAGCCGCCCAGCAGCAGAGCCGCCGAGCCGCCCAGCACCCGAGCCCCCGAGCCGCCGAGCTGCCGAGCCGCCCAGCAGCCGAGCCGCCAAGCCGCCCAGCAGCCGAGCCGCCGAGCCGCCCAGCAGCCGAGCCACCGAGCCGCCCAGCAGCCGAGCCGCCGAGCCGCCCAGCTGCCGAGCCACCTACCGCCCAGCTGCCGAGCCGCCGAGTCGCCCTGCAGTCGAGCCGCCCGAGCCGCCCTGTCTGGTAAGAGCAGCGCCTCTGTCACTGCACTGCTCTCACCCTACTGTTCGCGCTGCTAGTCTACTGCTGTCATGGCTACCCCTAGTGTCCTCGCTTTTGACGCTGAGGGTCGGGCCATTGACTTTGACGTCTGGATAGATGACCTGCAGCTTTTCTTACAGTGCAATAGGGCGGACGGTCTCTCTCTCTTTGACCTCACCTCTGGTGCCTCTCCTGCCCCTGCTGCTGATGCAGACGCCACTGTCCGCTCACAGTGGGCCACGCGCGATGCTGCTGCACGTCTTGCTGTGCGTCGCCACCTGCCTACCTCTGAGCGTGCGCACTTAAGCTAGTAGAAGAGTGCTCAGACCTTGTACGAGGCTGTAGTTGCACGCTACTCCTCCCCTGCAACTGCTGCACTGAGCCGCCTCATGCTACCGTACCTCTTCCCTGACCTTGTTGCCTTTCCCACAGTCGCTGACCTCATTACGCACCTCCGCACTAGTGACACTCGCTACCGCGTGTCAGAATCCTAACCACTAGACCATTGGGATAAAAGGGCTTGTTTCAGTAGCGGGTCAGTGCGCCCATAACCCCCCAGGCGAACGTGCCTGTAACCCTCTCCAGGATCAATCGGGCATCCACAGTGCAGATCTACTGACACCGCGCTGCGCTTCCTGCTGAGTTCTGCGCCAAGAACCCCCCCCCCCCCATATACATCACTCTCTACTACAGAGTCACTCGCCTCCCTGACTCCCTTCGCGTAGTCAGGAACCACTTTCTCTCAGTCTGTCCCACCACTCTCACTGTTGACCTCCTCGAGAAGGCCCTCCTAGCAGCAGAGAAGAGCATAGTCGCTGTAGGAGCCTCTTGTGGTGACCCGCGCACCCCCATCTTTGAGGGGTGTTCCCCCTCCCCCCTTTTGCCCTCTGTTGCCTCTGGTGCTGCGGCCGACCTCGTTGGGCTTGAGTCGGTCGGTGCGGCGTCTACCCCTAGTGGGAGACGCCGCTCTGGCAAGGGCAAGGGTGGCAGGGGCGCTGGAGGAGCTAGCGGAGGCGGTGGAGGCGGCGGTGGAGGCGGCGGAGGGAGTGGGGGTGGCGGTGGGAGTGGTGGCGGGGGTGGAGGTGTCGGTGGCGGCAGTGGAGGCGGAGGCAGCGGCGGTGGCGGTGGGAGCGGAGATGGTGGAGGTGGCGGAGGTGGAGGAGGCGGTGGCGGAGGAGGAGGAGGAGGAGGTCGTGGCTCTTCGCAGAGGAGTGGCTCCGGTGGTGGTCAGCGCCAGCAGCAGCAGCCCAGTCGGGAGACCCTGTCCCCTCAGCAGCTCCGTGAGTGGTACGCTGCACGCCAGCGGGGTGGGGGTACTGGTCCGTGCACCTACGTCCTGCGCACTAGCGACCGTGCGGGTGAGCAGTGTGGGGGTGCGCACCCCACCCAGCGCTGCTTTGGCCACCTGACGGACGCTTGGCGTCACCAGTTCCCTGAGGCCACTGAGATCCCTCGCTGGGGCGAGCTGTCTAGGGCAGGGGTAGCTATCTTTGACCTTGACTTTGATGCTATTCTTGCTGCTATGTATACTGTGTCTATTAGTGAGGAGGGTGACTGTTACCGGTGTTTCCCGCCCGACCCGGGCATTGAGCCTGCTGCTCTAGGTGCTGTTGAGGCTGCTGCTCTTGGTGCTAGCGAGGCTGCTGCTCTTGGTGCTAGTGCGTCTGCTTCCTCCGGTATTGGTGAGTCTGCACTCTCGGGTACTGCGTCGGCGTCGGCCTCCCACACCTTCACACTTGACTCGGGGGCTTCTCGCTCCTTCTTTCGAGACCGCACCACACTCACGCCGCTTGGTCGGCCAGTTGCGGTCTCCCTGGCAGACCCCTCTGGGGGTCCTGTCCTTGCTCACTTCTCCACTGTCCTCCCTTGTCCGGCGGCCCCCTCTGGCACCCTGTCCTCCCCTGGTCTTTTCTCTATGAACTTGGTGAGTGGTGCTGACCTACAGGATGCGGGGGTTCATCAGTTCACTCCTGCGAGTCAGCGGGTGACCCACTGCACGGACGCTCGGACAGGCCGACACCTGGCCACGTTTACACGTCGGCCAGGGTCGAGCCTGTACACACTGACCACTGCGTCTCCTCCAGTCCCTGCGTCTGGTCAGGTAGCTGCATCAGGTCAGGTGTTAGCTGCAGCGTCCACGTTTGGTCCTGAGTCTGCCCCCTGCTCGTGTCGCCTCCTGTCTCACGAGACTCTCCTCTGGCACCACCGCCTTGGTCACCCCTCCCTGCTTCGTCTCCGAAGCATGGCCTCCCGTGTCCTTGTCTCTCGTCTTCCCTGGTCCCTCCCTCCCCTTCCTCCGGGGCCTGGCCCTACCTGCGTCCCCTGTGTTGAGGGGCGGCAGCGGGCTACCCCTCACTCCTCCCAGTTTCCTCCGACAGAGGCCTTGCTGCAGACGCTTCACATGGACGTGTGGGGCCCAGCCCGCGTCCGTGGACAGGGTCACGAGCGCTACTTCCTGCTGGTGGCTGATGACTACTCCCGTTACACCACAGTCTTCCCCTTGCGCAACAAGGGTGATGTCACTGAGGTGTTGATCGACTGGATCCGCGCAGCTCGTCTCCAGCTCAGGCGGAGCTTCGGCTCGGACTTTCCTGTTCTGCGTCTGCACTCTGACAGAGGCGGAGAGTTCTCCTCTGGCCTTCTGCGAGCCTACTGTCGTGCACGAGGCATCCGCCAGACCTTCACGCTTCCGGACTCTCCACAGCAGAATGGGATTGCTGAGCGCCACATTGGCATGGTCATGGACGTCGCCCGTACGTCCATGATGCATGCGGCTGCCCCCCATTTTCTGTGGCCGTTTGCGGTTCGGTACGCGGCGCATCAGATCAACGTTCATCCCAGGGTCTCCATGCCGGAGACCTCCCCAGCTTTGCTGTGGACGGGGAAGGTTGGCGATGCGTCTGCGTTCCGTGTCTGTGGATCTTGGGCGTTTGTCCGTGACTTGTCTGCGGACAAGCTGTCCCCTCGTGCTGCTCCTTGCGTCTTCGTGGGTTTCCCCCCTGACGCCCCAGGGTGGCAGTTCTACCACCCCACCTCTCGCCGTGTTTTGTCCTCCCAGGACGTCACGTTCGACGAGTCGGTCCCCTACTACCGCCTCTTCCCCTACCGCACTCCGTCCCTCCCCCTGCCACCGCTCTTCCTTGTACCAGGTCCCCACCCGGTAGACCCCCTCCCCCCTCAAGGTCCTGCCCCTTCAGGTGTGTCCCAGGTAGACGCTGTTGAGCCTGTCGAGGTCGCTGGTGACTCTGGGGGTGCTGAGCGTGTGGGTGCTACGCCTGGGGGTGCTGGACCTGCGGGTACTTCTTGAGCTGGAGCTGCTTCGGGTGTTGGCGAGGGGGCTACTGCTGTCGGTCCTTGAGACGGTCCTGCTGGGGGTACTATTGGTGCTGCAGGGGGTACTGGAGCTGGAGCTGCTAGTGGTGCTGGTGCTGCCACTGGTGGTGCTGGTGCTGTCCCTGCTGTGTCTGGAGTCGCCGCGCGGCCTCGGCCGTACTTCGTTCCGCTCCTTCAGCAGGTTCTTGGTCTCCCTTCTTCTACTGGTCCTCCTCCTCCCTTAGAGTGTCCACAGCCTGTCCCGTCGCAGTTACAGTTACAGCCGGCCTCCCCACTGCCTGCTCCTTCTCCCTACACTGGTCCTACTAGAGGTCTTGCTGAGCGTCGTGAGCCTGCGTCTCGCCCTGCGTCACCTGTCCGTGCTGCTCGCACTAGTGGTCGCGGCTCGTATCAGCGTCCTCCTGCTGTCCCTGGCACGCACCGGATGTCTCTGCGTCTGTCCAATGCTCCTCTGCGTGCCCCTTTGCCTTCTCCTCCTGAGTCTTCTCTTCCTGCTCTTGCCGACCCAGAGTCGGACTCTCTTCGTACTGCCATTCCTACTGTCATGCGTCTCCTTGCTACTGTTGTCAGTGACCCTTCCTTTGAGTCCACTGCTGCGTCTGCCCTAGTTGCTGAGCTCGTCGACTTTGCTGCTCGCTGTCGCCTAGACTACGCCGCCAGTCTTGTTGCTGAGTCTGAGTCTGTCTGTCCTCCGTCCGTCGGGGGTGAGTGTGCCCTTGGCACGGACGTCCTTGAGGACAGGCAGGAGGATTTCCAGTACTTGGCCGCTGCTTCACCTCATCTCGTGTCCGTACTGCTTACCCCTGAGGATGACCCGGATGCACTTGACATCCCGACTCCGCGCTCTTACGCGGAGGCGATAGAGGGTCCCTACTCCTCTTAGTGGCAGTCAAAAATGGACGCAGAGATGGCTTCCTGGAAGTTCACACGCACCTACGTTGACGCTGTTCCCCCTCGTGGGGCGAACATCGTCAGTGGCATGTGAGAAGAAACGAGAATGAATGACTAAGGAATGAAAGTGATACAAGTATGCAGCCCTAGAAATGTGTACCCCGTATAGGCTACCCCACTACAGCCTACACAACATTATAATTTGACACACCCCCATAGGCAAAGTGGGGGAGAACAAGGGGTCACAAGACCTGTCAAGCAGAGCAAAGCCAGCTCAGGGTGGATCACAAAGTCACCACACATTCCGAGCACAAGTTCAAGGCCACAAGGCCAGTTCACATGCTAGAGTACATATATATATAGAAGGCTAGACAAGCAAGAGCAGGGGTATATATATGTAACAGTACAAGCAAGGTCAAGAGGTGAGCAAGTGAGGCAAGACAGGCACAAGACCACGCTGAGTGCAGAAGCGCTGATGATCACAAGGTGCAAGTGCCTTAGTGAAGATATCAGCAGTGTTGGCCTCAGAGGCCACGTAAGCAAGACGGAGCTGACCACGCTGCTGCAGCTCACGAGCAAGGAAGTAGCGAAGAGCAATGTGCTTCGTTCTGTGCTCCACTCTCTGCTCTTGACACAAGGCCAGCATGGCCTTGTTGTCTACGTACAGCACTGGAGGAGAACGAGGCACCTCGCCAAGGTCAGTCAGCAGGTAGGTGAGCCAGCGAAGCTCCTGTGCAGCCATGGCCCCGGCGTACATCTCAGCCTCACAACTGGAGCCGAGAACAGAAGACGAGCGGGTAGCCCGCCACGAAATAGAGCCGGAACCAAGGCTTAAGGTGTAACCCTATGACGACCGCTGCGTAGCCTGGTCGTCCGCCCAAGAAGCGTCTGCGTGCCCAGTGAGGACCACTGGACTCCGCCCTCCAAGCACAAGCCCCATGCCCGACGTACTGCACAAGTAGCGCAACACCCTCTTCGCTGCAGCCATGTGCTCCGGTCTGTGTCTCCTAGGAGCAACATAGCTTGCGAGAATGCTAAGAGGGTATGCAAGGTCAGGTCGAGTGCAGGTTATCAGGTACATGAGACA